TTTATGGTTTGCATTGACTTATGTGAAGAGCATGGAGGACCCCATGGCACTTGGAAAGACCATGGAGGTAGTCCATGACATTCGAAATGAAGACCCTGGAGGGAGTCCATGGCAAACCTATGTTTATGTGTGCATGGAAATATATGGTTATGTGTTTATGTATATTTGGGAATCTTACGAAACGTGTGCTTACAATTTTTGTTTGGTGTTTCAACTACTTCTGGTTCTAAGGGAAAGGGCCCAACTTGATGGCGCAACACGCACTCCCCAGTATTTTTGCACTTAGCATGTGAAAACTATGATCTTTTAAACAATGTAGTTATGTAATGGGATTTTTGGAAACAAATGTGGTTGATATTATTAACTATTTAAATGAAAATGTTCCTATACATTTTGGGTTGTTACAAGTTGGTATTAGAGCCTTGGTTTGAGGGATTTGATCACACTCTTGGGTGTGTCATAACTCAAACTAAGGAAATGGTAAACCCTTATTCAAAAAGAAACCAGAAGTTACAAATTTTCTTGAAAACTGTTTTTATAAGTAAAATGGGAGAGTGCAATGTGCGTAATCGGCCGAGCTCAAGTAAGTGTTCCCAATGTACTAGCCATGCTATAACTATATTTGGAAATGATGATTGAATTGATTACTTGCCATGTGTATGCCTTCAAAGTTGTATAATTCTAGCATTGCATAGCCCTAGAATGATGAATTCTATCTTATTCATGTTCCTTGTTTGGTTGTGGTTTAGGGTAGAAGCTTATTTGATAGTCTATGTGATTCTATTTGTGTGTAACTTGCATGCATAAGGAAACCTGCTATGATTGGTTTAAGTTTCAAGTTTAGTAGTTATTGGAAAATCCTAGGATAGTCTAGGATTTGAGTTGGTGTTGTGTTTTATGGGTCATAACTTGTGATCGGGTGAATTAGGGGTATCGGGTATGGCATTGGGGAAGATACAGGTAGGTGTGCAACGTAGTATTGGGCTCATACTACTGAAAGCACAGGACCTGTACCCGAAACAATGTCATACCTGGAAGCTCTAAGGTTTCTTGTGAGGTGGAATCCCTTATCATTTTTGTCATGTGTTATTTTTTTAGTTGAGGATGGTGATTATCACACGTGGTTCAAATTCAGGATCAGGATAAGGATCAAGTCCAGGCTCTGGTGCAGAGCCCATTGTTGAGAGGCTGCACGATCTTATAACAGTTGAGGTTACTCTTGGTATACTTGACGCTACCCCGGTGATCTTTGGTACCATCAAGGAGGGCATCATGTAGATCATGGAAGAGCAGTTCAAGTATTTCAGAGCCAAGATTGTTACAGGCCAGATTGGGCCCGAGCACTCTCGTTAATGGAGTTAAAGGCATGTAGAGTGCCTAAGTAGTTTTGGTGTCCGACATCCATCACTAGTTGACGTTGGGTGGCAGACATGCATAATGACTTACACACGAGCTTTTACCATAAGGTGGAAAAGGTGGGGTTCGCATCTTGCATGTTGAGGGATCGAGCACGAGACTACTGGGAGAAGGCTACCCACGAGGTGGGATCGGCGGGTGTGGCTGAGATGACCTGTGAGGATTTTGTGAAGAGGTTTGATTAGGAGTTTGGACTGTCCGTCGAGGTGAATCATTTGGTGAGAGAGTTTTAGGATCTATTAAAGACTTCATAGACTGTAGCGTAGACCACCACCAAGTTTCGAGAAAGAGCACTTTTGGTTCCGCTTTACGTTGTGGATGAGGATATGAAGAAGACGAGGTATCATTCCATGCAGAGGGATGATATACCCTTAATGACATGGTAGAGAAGGCCCGGGAATAGGAAATTGAGTTGGAGCTCTGGACCAAGAAGAATTCAGAGCAAGTTCAGGCATCAATGGGTGAGGTCAAGAAGACTAAGACCTCCGATCCTCCCAACAGGGGCTAGCAGGGCCGTGGCTGATGTGCCAAGTTTGGTAACCCGCATGGTGGAGTGTGTCGAGCAGCAGTCTCGACATGTTGTGCATGTGGTTAGCGAGCAACACTATGATTGGTTTGAGCCATAAGAAATTTCCTATGTGCACATGCAAACCCTAATGCTTGGATCTAGGTTTCTCTAATGGAACATACAATGTATCCAAGACTTTTATTGATAGATCTAGTATAAACATTCAAATCATAACATATGAAATCAGATCTAAAGGAATACCTTGAGTTGATTGCTTGAATCTTCTTGTCTGTGGAGCTTAGAGTCACATTTGTCACTCCTCTAATGGATTACAAACACCAACTAGCAAGAGGATGATAATAGAGAGAGATGAGGGTGAGAAAATCGGCCTTAGGGTTTCTTGTCTTGCATGAGTGCCGATTTCCTCCACCCAATGGGTCTATATATACTATGAGCTACTAGGGTTACACCTTAAACCCTAATTGAATAACTTAGTCCCTAAGCAATCAAATGATCCCTATATACTAGGCCTTGGATGATTTCTAGTTTTCTCCAAACCCTAAAATCGTCCACCCTCACATCCATAAAGATTCATAGCCCAAAATACAACTATCACACATTTGACAGTTTATGCCACTTTATTGAATTAATCTCTTTAAGTCACCAAATTAATTTCTAATAAATTTATGACTTATATTAATCAAATAACAATATTATTATTCCTTATAATATTCTCATAATATAATATTTCTTATCTCATTATAAATTATCCTGTCAAGTTGCTATGGTGAAGGCAACCCAAAAGGACCATGCACAATCGGGTCAAAAACTTGCCAAATATAGTTATAGCCTTAGACACTATTCCAACACACTAGACGTCATGACTAGTATGTGATCTATTTATGTTTTATTTATTTTATTGATTACGTTTATATGGTTATGATCTTGTATAGGGACATTTATGGTCAACGATTTGTCGTCTCATATTCTTTTTTATACGGGGGCTACCCAGTTATTTATATATTTTGTGCTCATCAAGAAGTTTCAAGATGATATGGGGACTTTGGATTCCCCACTTGAGGTGGAGATTGCGGATGATCGTACCATGAGCGTTGCGAGGGTATTTCGGAAAAGTGTCCTAAATATGTTCAGGGAGAGGTTTCTAATTGATCTGGTTCTAATTCCTTTGAGATAATTAAAGGTGATCATCAGGAAGGATTGGTTAGGTCCATGATAGATTAAGAGCGTCAGCCGATGAGGGTTTGAACCCCAAGTTAGGGAGAACTGGTTATCCGTGGGGAGAGAGCCTCGCATGGGCCAACTCTCTGTTCGGTTGCGAGGGCTAGGAGAATCCTTCAGCAGGGTTGTTCTAGTTTCTTGGCTTATGTCTCAGATATGAGGGTGGAGGCCACATCAGACTTGAGTAGTGTAACTATTGTGCGAGATTTTCCAGATGTATTTCTAGAGAAGTTTCCTGGGGTTCCTCCCAAGAGGAAGGTGGAGTTTCATATTGATTTGGTGTCGGGTGCGTGCCGATAGCCAAGGCGTCATATCATTTAGATCCACCGGAGATGCAGGAGTTGTCTACGCAACTTCAAGAGCTGCTAGACCGGGGATTCATTCATCCGAGCAGTTCCCCATGGGGACCACCGATCCTGTTCGTGAAAAAGAAGGATGGGTCACACAAGATGTCTATTGATTATCGGGAGCTGAACAAGCGAACGGTGAAGAGCTGTTATCCGCTTCCGAGGATTGATTATTTATTCGATCAACTTTAGGGTGCATCTTGGTTTTCCAAGATTGACCTTTGTTCAGGGTATCATCAGATCATAGTTAGTGATGAAGACATATCGAAGACGGTGTTCAGAACTCGTTATGGTCATTACGAGTTTGTGGTGATGCCATTTGGGCTCACCAATGCTCCAGCAACGTTCATAGATCTCATGAATCGGGTTTGCAGTCCGATGTTGGACCGGTCTATGATCATTTTCATTGATGATATTTTAGTCTATTCTAAGACCATGGAGCAGCATGAGAAACATTTGAGGGAGGTGATAGAGACATTGAGGAGGGAGAAGCTTTATGCCAAATTGTTCAAATGTGAGTTTTGGTTGCATGAGGTGCAGTTTCTGGGGCACATCATCAACCAAGAGGGCATTTTGGTTTATCCGACCAAGATTGCGGAAATAATATGTTGGGAGGATCTGAAGAACACACCCGAGATCCAAATTTTCTTGGGGCAAGAAGGGTAGTATCGGATATTCATCTAGGATTTCCCCAAGATTGTCGTGCCCTTAAACCATTTGACCAAGATAAGTGTGATCTTTCAGTAGGGTACAGATCAACAATCGACTTTTGAGACTTTGAGGTAGAAATTATGTGAGGCCCTAGTTCTAGCACTGCCCGAGGCATTGGATGATTTTGTGGTGTATTTTGACGCTTCTATTTCAAGTTTGGGTGTTTCTCTGATGCAGAGGGGGCATGTGATTGCTTATGCCTCGAGGCAGCTGAAGCCTCATGAGGTGAATTACCCCACTCATGATTTAGAACTAGGGGTGGTGGTATTTGCCCTTTGATTTGGAGGCATTATTTATATGGGGTCCAATGCACCATTTTCACTGATCACAAGAGTTTGAAATATTTCATGGATAAGTAGAATTTGAATATGAGGTAGAGGAGATGATTAGATGCGGTAAAAGATTACGACTGTGAGATTTTTTACCATCTTAGGAAGGTCAATGTGGTGGCCGATGCTTTGAGCCATAAGACGGCAAGTGCTCCGTGATATGATTGAATCCTAGTGATACCGAATAGATTCAAACAATTAAACAATAAGAACAACGTAAATAAATCAAAATACGCTAAATCATTAAAAGCTACAGCCTCAGAAGAACTCGATGAAGAATTGCTACTATAGAGGCATGTAGGGTTACAAGACTATTTCCAAAGTTTTAAAATACGGTGCATGCATGCACCTTAAATACTATAACCTTAATAATAAAAGATAGGTGGAAAGGGGCAGTTTGAATATACAAAATACAAATCCAATGGCCCAAGAGACACAACACTAAAATACTCAACAATCTCCCATTTTGCGTCGATTGAGGTGAGAGTACTTCAAGACTAGGTTCGCTTCTGCACTTGAAAAACTTTTTGGAATGATGATCAGCAGAACCTTGCGAACTGGGATATACCATTGAATCATATCCAAGAAGCAATTCTTGTCACCTTTGCTATTACCCTTGTACCTGTTGATAATCTCTAAAATATATTCAAGATACGAGGTGGTGTATAAATGATTGTCAGCAAGAAAGAAACAAATTTTTTGATAGTCTACATCATTTTGCTCCTTTAGTTGAAAGGCCACACACCATCCGTTCTTATGTATCTTCCCAAGTTTCATCATTTTAAAACCATCAGGGTTATCCTTGGGAAGTACACCTAGCTTCCTTCGCAGCACAACAACAATTTTAGCATCTATCTGCATAACCTCATAAATGTAAGAAATTAGCATTTGCTTGAGGTGAGTAATGATGGTTTCATACTTCTAACCATACCTTAGCAAAAACATTGTAAAGCATGGTCCAATCATATCGGTTAATGCATGGAATATCAACAAGGGTGAATTCGCAGACCTGACTGGATGAACCTCTCGCAACCTTAAACTTTGCATTTGGGAAGCTATCGGTTTCGATAGGACCAGTGTCCTTCCCTTCTGTAATCTTTCTCTCACTCCACGTCTCATATTGTAGCTTCATATGCTTGAGGTAGAAGGAGAAGAGTAAGTGATTAGCACCACTGTCTGTCACAAGGGCATTCATAACTTTCACAAAGATGAAAAACATAAATGCTTTCAATAAAAATTGGAATGTCTAGCTGCAAATCTTGTGAATTCTGAAGATCAAAGGAGACAACTGGTTACAACTAATATTGATTTGGCATACCAACAACTTCATTCGGGATTTGCTTTAGTGTCCACACTGGAAACAAGTTCTTTCAGCTTTCCAGTGCGAAGAGAGCTTCGCATTAAGCTTTTTCTATGACTTCAGCTTCACGATGATCCTCTGACGTTTATCCATTTGAGCTTCACGTTCTTTTCTTCTTTTTAACTCATTTTCATCAGGCTCTTCATCTTTGCTATTATTGATAATTTTTTCTTCACTGGAAAGGTTTTCTTTGCCTTTTGGTTCAGATTTGCTTTTGGGCTTGACAATAGGTTTCACAGATGGCTTGTGATTTCCCTTTTTAGACAGTTTACCTTCTTCTCCCCCTTGTTTCGGAATTGAGAAAATTTTTGGAAAACCCTCCAGTCAATTCAGAATGGCAAAAACAGGCATGAGTTTCTCTACAAAATGCTTTGTAACTGTGATCGTGATCATGGAATCACGAGTCTCAATAATCTCAGAAAGCAGTCCATTGACATCTATTATACAACTCTTTATGTCTACTTTCTTGGATAATAAATCATTGACTCGTTTTTCAGAATTTTTTAACTTGACTGTCAAGACTTTCACCCTTTCAGTCTTTACAGCAAGTACATCCATGATTTTGCTCTCTATCGCTAATTTATCCTGGAGCTTTGTGATCTTCAAGGAAATGGAGGAATTAAACTCAACATGGTCAGATTGAAGACCAGTGTGAACCTTTAAAAGTTTTGCCTTCTCTGTTTTAAGAGTTGAGCCCATGTAAGAAATTACCTCATTGGCCTTTGTGGTGTTAGACTCTAAAGAGCTTTGGAATTTTTCCATGAACTCACAAGTATCTGTAATTAGTTTATCGACTTTTTCGGTCGTTTGGATGCACACAGAAGCAGATGAATTCACAGCCTTGTTTGTCTTTTCGAGATTGGCAGAATGCTCATTCATAAGAGTCTCCAGGAACGATTTGATTGTTGCTTGTGAATAATCTTCAGTAGAAGAAGCCTTGGAGGATTGAAGCAACGAATCGAGTCTATCATTGATCGCCTTGAGTTTCCCTTGTGTGACTGGATCTTCGTCATCACTTTCAGTCCGATTGTTAAAAGGATTGTAAGTGAATCCCGCGAAGTCATCGTCATCACCACTGAATAATGTCTAGATCATCTATTTGGAAAGGGAAGACCAGTTGGGTAGAAGAACCGACAGTGAAACCTGAATCCCTTGCCCCTGCATCAGATGCGTTGAAAATGATAAAAGGTTCAACAGTGGTCGTTGTGGAATCAGTGAAAATAGGAGGTGCGGTTTACGAAACGCCCAAAGAAACAGGTGGGCATGGGGAAATGGAGATAGGTGTTGAAAGAGTAGCAGTAGGAGAAGTAATAGAGACATCCTCAATAAATTCATTGGTAATAGGAATTGAGATAAGATTCTCAAAGGTTACCTCAGGATTCGTAGAAATCGGCTGTGAAACCTCATGATGCGAGGTTGTTGGAGTGTCTTCATGTTTACAGTCTCATCAATTGAAATGCAAACATCAAAGTGAGTAACTGACTATGAATCTTCACTTTGGCTTGGCGTTGGAGCCTTGGGCTTGCGAGCAACCTACTTTATCTTTCACTTATTTGTTGGAGATGAAGCTGGTGCAGATGAACCAATGTGTGACTTTCATTTCCTGGGGGTTGGAGCGGGTGCTGAAGTACCTTCCTTTGCAACTTTCTTCTTTCCTCCTTTCTTAGGCTTATTATCCTCTTCTAATATTGTTTGCATGTCATCGGTTAAAGGATAAAAGCCTGAAAATTGAAGTTTTCTGTAAGCTTCAAGTATCTTGGTTGCGGCAGGGACATCACGAAACACGGCTTTAGGAATAAAGCCAACAAATGAGAATTTTGAGTTGTTTGGAATAATGATGTGTGTAGTGTGGAAGACTGAAATGGTATAAATGAAGAAATATTGCATCACAAGAATCTGGAACTTTTCAATTTCCCTTTGAACGACCATTGTCCAGAAGCGAGCACAGGAAATTCCACTGTTTTGGTTTGTAGAATGGGTACTTTGGACCAATTGAGCCTAAAGAACAACCCCAAAATCAATATTGATCCCCATGTAGATCCCATATATGATGGTCATGAATAACTTACTGGCACAATCGGAGCAAGTCACACGCTCAAAGAAGCTTTTGAACAACCGGGTAAAAAGCCAATTCCATTGAAGTGGTAGATTGGCTTTCCAGAACTTTGAGATGGTAGTTAGGGTTTCTTTGTACCCCATTTGGAAGAACATCTTCATGATGGTTGCGATGAAGACGGAATCAGGGTCAACCATATCATCAGTATGAGCGAGCCCTAGTAAAGAGCAAAATCGGGATTTGGTGATTGAGGTTTTCCTGTCGTGAACTTCGAAGGTGATTCTTTGTACTTCCTTGATGTAGCAAGCATACGAGTAGGCTTTCGATAAGAGGGGCATCAGAACAATCTCGGATGTGGTCATAGCTTTAACCAGACAGGAATATTTAAAGCACTCAATGATGGGTAGCATGTAGCTGTCGCACTTAAGAGGGTCAAGATCCAAAATCAAGTTTTGTTTAGGCGTGATAGTAAGAAGCGACAATTGTGCAAATCGATCTTGAATAGAAGGGGTTTCTGAAGAACCTACCATTGTTGATTTCTTAGAGAGAAAGATCAACAGTAGAGAGGTTTAATCGTCAGAACTCTTTGAAGATATTTGAAAGCGGTAATATGAATTGAATCGCCAAAATCCCTTTATATGATTTGTTTGGAGAGAGAAATCCAGATGTATGGTGTATTGGTTACTAAAAAGTCTCCTAAAAAGACGTGATTGACAATTGTGATGCCATGCATGCTTGCCAGGCAGTGGTACAGTAGACATCGTTTCAAATTTCACACGCACATTTGAATTCTTATCCAAAATAAATTGTCGCATCAACGCCACCCTTTTAGTAATGGATTCAGTTGTCTTCTTTTCCAGTTAATCCTGATAAATACCTCTCATATCCAGTGTATATACAACCCTTCGCAATGAGACATCATCAATTTATCTACGAAACTAAACGAAATCATGAATACCATGATTAAGAAGTGTCTTTGTGATTTCCCGTTGAAATGCGATCACTTTTTCGTTAAGAAATAGTGAAATGTATCTTTTAAAATGCTTTATTGGGTGGTTCTATCTACAACAAAACTACGAAACTTGATATAAGTCTGAAAGTTCGATTGAAGTAATTGTTTGACCAGTGTAGTCAATTGAGCATGTAAGATTTGGAATTATTTTAAGTGACATGGATTCGCATGGAAATCTCAAGAAAAATAAAAATTGGATCTATATGGTAGAAACGTCTAAGGTCTAGAGCATTTCATTAAGATCTCGCAAAAGAAAAAGAGATTTCTTGGTAGTGACCATGAAAGTGGAGTTTCGTTAATTCCTTGATTAAAAATCTAGAACATGTATATTGTTCGCCGTCAATTCATATAAGTGAGTTGGATTTTGGGTTTCACTCAATTTGTGGTGATAACAAATTGAAGATTATCAACATAGAAGTTGTGTAACCATAAACCTCAGTGGTAATGTCTAAGAGTCTCGAGGGTTACATTGGTGAATGCAAAAGTAATGGAGAAAGGTATAACGTGGTTCTAAAGAATATAGAATACCTCTGCTATGCGAAAGGTAGCTCAAGACTTATATGAATGAACTGCCTAAATGCGAAGAAATGATTGGTGTTAACGAATCATTAAGGATTCAACATAGAGTCATTGAAGCTTCAGACAACATGCATCAACATGATTCTAGGGACACTTAACTAGTACATAGATAAGAAAGTTTATACCGACCCCATTAATCATATTTGAGAAAACCAATATTCGTGATATAAAACATGCTCAATTATCTAGTATTTATGGTATTTTGATATAAGTAAAATTAAAGAAAAGAATGTAAAGAAAATATTTTTGTAATTTTGATTTTCTAATGAAATAAAAACATAAATGAAATATTTTTGTATTTTTTTTAAATATTAAAATAGAAACAAGATCGAACATAAATACATAATATGCAAAAGGATATAAAAAGCTCCAAAGCACAAGTGAATGGTTGATTTTGAGACACTGAGAACTTTCGCACGGTAAATGATAGCTACGAGCATTCACACCAATTTGCAGGACAAAAGATGATAGTGAATTATTGCGAGCATTCGCACCAATTCGCATGTCAAACTATGGACTACGAAAGCAAAAGTGTAACTGGAAGTGAAAGTGCCACTTTGAAGGCAAAAGAGGTTTTGGAACTAATTTAGCTTCCACCATTTCCAGCCCTTGAAGAATATGATTGAATGTAGATTCCGGTAGCGCTTTCTTGACAATGTCCACTAATTGATCTGAAGATCTAACAAAATGTATCTCAACATTACCATCTTCCACTTGATCTTTGATGAAGTGATACCTCAATGTTATATGTTTCGTCTTTGAGTGTCGCACTGGGTTGTGACAAATGCAAAGGGCGCTTTCGGATTCACAATATATTGGGATTCGTTTCATGTTTAGGCCAGAATCATGATGTTGACTTTGAATCCATATGACCTGGGAAGTGCATGAGGCAGCAGCAATGTACTCGGCTTTTGTTGTTGATAAGGAAACACAGATTTGCTTTTTGGACTGCCAACTGAAAAGTTTACCATCAAGAAATTGGCATTCTCTAGTTGTACTTTTTCTATTTAACCCGCATCCTCTAAAATCAGCATCCGAAAATTCTTGCACAAAGAAACCAGACTTTGAGGGGTACCATATTCCATGTGAAGATGTTCTTTTAAGATACCTGAATCTATTCTTGACAGGGATCATGTGAGGTTCACTAGGATTAGCTTGAAACCTTGCACAATAACAAACGGAAAACATGATATCTGGTTGACTAGCAATTAGATACATTAGTGAACCTATCATGTGACGATAAAGTGTCGTATCTGCATCCGTTTTTTCTAGAGACGGAGTTAGTTTTGTTCTGAATGCGATTGGAACCTTCACATTTGAGTCTCCCACCATTCCAAACTTACTAAGTAAGGTCTTTGTATGAGCTTCCTGATTTATGAAGATTTCTTCCTGACTCTGCCTTATGGTCAAGACAAGGAAAAAGTTAATCAGACCCATGGTGTGACATCCCCATTTTCAAGGCCAAAAAAGACCGATTTTGTTTATGCTTTATAAAAATCAGAGTACCTCTTTTATTAAAAATGTTTCGGAATTTTTTCTCAGTAAAACATGATAAATACGTTATCAAAGCATTTCCGAAGAAAAGTATTTTTATTCATTTTAAAACATATGGGATGTCATCGTCAATACATAAACATAAGCATAAACAGAAGTTACATTCATTATCACTAGTGATTTATATCTCCTTAATCTCTCAGTGTAACGTGACTTCATATCAATACCTGTGATATAAATAAACTGAGTGGGTCAGATTGGGAAACCTGGTGAATACATAGGGTTTTCAACCCACAATAAATAAGTTTATTAACTTTATCAAGCAAAACAAACTCGACTACCCATTCCTGTTATCCTCAATTTACGTCCCTAAAACACCTAACACAAGGGACCTACTCTAAGGACTTTCATCGGGGTGACAACACATGCTTCGGGGGTTCCTCAGCAATTCATGTCAAATAAGGCAACCTCGTGGGGGATGGAGTACTCGTAGTGAGCACACAGTTCAAATAAACACCTACAAGTTGCAATGCTGCTAGCGTTCCACTGGATTGTCTAGAATAGTCTGTGGTCGTCATCTATAATCCGCTAGATGACTGGATCATCAATAACATCTATATCGAGGCCTCTCATTATTTTAATTGGTCACACATAAACTATTACATCTACCCATGTTTTACCCAACATGTTTTGTAGATATAAAATACATATACAATTTAAATCATTTAAAACGTGTATAAAAATATTTCACCCAGCATAGACAACAAGTATTCAAACAATATGCACACATAACATGTAATTTATATTAAATACTTCATATCTATGTGTGAGATGAAAGTGACCATGCACTCACTTGAAAAGGTGGTGATTCCGAACTCAGACAACGCTTTCTTCTTAAAAATAATTTCCTTCGACGAAACCTAGTATTATTATCACTAGAGTTTATTATATTATTCGCCGAGGCTAATTCATAGTCTAGCTATTATTACTATTATATAAGTGTTAAACAATACTTATATAACCCATAATAATAATAGCCGAAGTACTAATTATAAGTTCCTAATAACGTTACTATAATTAAATAAAAGCTATATTAAAAATAGCGTAGACGTAGCTAACTTACAGCGGGTTTTATAGAAAACATGGATTTGCTTGGAGCAGAGTTCCAGAGCTGAAAAGCTCTTCTTCTCGCAGACGTCGAGCACTTCGGGGCTTCCGCCTCGTGCTAGGGAGGTTCCCTTGGCTTTTCGGGGGTTTCGGGGCTAGAGAGAGCTTCTAAAGAGAGAGTAAAGATAAGAAAGAATGGTAAGGTGTGAAGAAAATGTGGGTGGGATAGGTTTTATTTATAGGGTGAAAATGGCTGAAATTGGTGCCACATGTCACCATCTAGTGGCAAGACCTGGGGAGAAAGCAATGGCCAAGATTGTGCTACTTCACCCGTTTTCGCACAGCATAGTTCTGACTTCTAAAATCCGTAACTTTTACATACAACCTGCGCTTTTGATGTTCTTTATATCCACGCGTAGATAAAAATAATATCTACAACTTTCATTTTGACTCTATCGGCTAATTCTCGACCGATCTTAAATTTAACAGTACGAGGAGATTATACTATTAAATGTCCGCGTAAAATTCATAACTTCTACATACGGACTCTGTTTTCGTCTGTCTTTCTACTGTTGAGTTCCTATTAATGAGATATTCAATTCTCATTTAGGTCGCGTAGGCCAAAAACCGCTCGATCTCAAATTCGAGTTTCGGGATGTGCAATGCTAAGCCAAATCTTAGAAAATTCAAAACTTCCTCATATAAAGTCAGATTTGGGCATTCATTTTTTGTATATTCTCGGTTTAACGTATACTAAAACCTTTGTTTCGATTTCTAAGGCTAAAAATTCCCCAATCGTAAATTCACTATTTACGTCTCCCGGTGTCGTGCTAGTTTTGCCGTAAAACTTCGACGGACCATAACTTCTTCGTTATAACTCGGATTTCAACGTTCTTTATATGTACGGAACCCTTGATATGTATTCTAAAACTTGTTTAAGATTATTTATTCTAAATAATATTTTTTCAAAAAGTCATTTTCAACCCCTATTATCTCTAAATTGACTAGCCCGGATCTGCGGGCGTTACACATGGAGCTCATTTCAAACTTCGTTTCCATTAATTTTTGGAACTCAGCAGTTAAGCTTGGATTAGTTAAACCGAAAATGATGTCATCAATGTAGATTTGGAAGATTATTACTTGGCTACCCTCTTTCTTGCGAAAGAAGATTGTGTCGATCGAACCTTGTTTAAACTTATCCTATTTTAAAAAATGAGTAAGAGCTTCGTACCAGGCTCTTGGAGTTTGCTTCAGAACATAGACTGTTTTGACCAGAATATAGCAGTGGTTAGGACATTTTTTGTTTATAAACCCAGGTGTTTGTTCCACATACACCGT